AACACCGTCTCCTATTGGTTGACCCATAAGTTGCGCCCTCGTCCGCCGAGAATAAAACCGTCGCCCATTGGTTGCGCTATGGGTTGCTCCCTCGGCCGCCGAGAATAGAACCACCTCCTATCGGTTGCGCCATAGGTTTCGCCCTCGGCCGCCGAGAATAAACACGTCTCTTATTGGTTGCGCCATAGGTTACGCCCTCGGCCGCCGAGAATAAAACCGCCTCCTATCGGTTGCGCCATAGGTTGCGCCCTCGGCCGCCGAGAATAAAACCGCCTCCTACTGGTTGCGCCATAGGTTTCGCCCTCGGCCGCCGAGAATGAAACAGTCGTCTATTGCTTGCGCCACAGGTTGCGCCCTCGGCCGCCGAGAATAAAATCGCATCCCACTGGTTGCGCCATAGGTTACGCCCTCGGCCGCCGAGAAAAAAACACGTCGCCGATTGGTTGCGCCAGATGTCGCACCCTCGTCCGCCGAGAATAAAACCGCATCTTACTGGTTGCGCCGTAGGTTGCGCCCTCTACCGCCGAGAATCAAATCGTCGCGTAACGGGTGCGACCAGTCAGTTCAGCTCAGTTCAGTTGGTCGGTTACCTCGCGACAAACAAATTCGGGCTACGCCCGAAAACACAGATTTTGGCATCTTTGGGGCCCTCTGGGGAGTGATCTTGGAGGCCTGTGGGGACGTCTTGGAGGCTTCTGGGGCCGTCTTGGGGTCGTCGTGGGAGTCTTGGAGCGATCATTCAGCGACTTGAGGCTCTCTTGGACCGTTTCGGCGGCCTCCTGGGAGCTCCCTCGGCAGTCTCCAGGCCCTCTTGGGCCCGAACAAAGTCACGCGAGAGGCGGCGCCAAACCCTGAGAGATTTGGCCATTTCGGGCCCGGGCACCTGGGAGACCCCTCAGGAGTGCTGAAGGGATTCGGCGAAGGACCTGAGGACACGGCCACTGCGCACCCAGCGGCGCGGCGGCGGATCTTGTTTCCACTGCCTTACCGTGGGCTCGTCGAGTTGTTGAGGATCTCCACTGGGACCGCGAGGACCTCCCAGGGGAGTTCGCGGATGGGCCGGGACTGATGTCGCATTCTAGGGTTCAACCGGAGTTTGAGAGAGTCGATTTCATTGCATTCAGAATGCTATGTTATGGAATCCGCATCACGCCTCTTGAGTTTAACGCGCAGGATTTCGAGACCGCGCAAAGAGCCCCCAGATGACCTGACAGGGCATCAGTTTCAGTGCACGTTCGAGGACCGCGGAGGCACCTTCGCTACTCGTCAGGGGCTCATGGCCCATATCAGTTTTTGTCGCGATTATCGTTCCCAGTGTCATGTCCCCACGCCTAGCAACGCATGCATTTTCCGTCGTGAAATCCGTCGGGGCAAAGCGTTTGCATTCCTTCATCGGGCGCTCGCAGTTCGCCAGGGACATGATGACATGGCAGATTGATGGGTGGTCGCGCACTGCGCGCGCTAATTTTCTCTACCTCCCCAGCCCGTCCCCAGCGTGATTTCGAGGCTTCGGGCCTCGGCGATCTTGGCCGACGCCCCCTCGGCCATTTACCTGGCCCCCTTATCCCTCGGCAGCGGCGCGCCCTTCCAGACCCACTTTGAGATGCTGGAGGAGCTGCGGCCAGCGACCTGGACGCAAGAGACAAAGTGCGGGGCCAGAGAGGACCAGGGCTTGGAACTCGCCGCCAAAATGCCGAACGCGGGCAAGGACAAGGGCAAAGGCGGCAAGAAGGACGGCAATAGGCAGCAGCCTCTGTTGCGGGTGCTCACCAAGCTGTGCCTCGGTCGGCGCGGGAATTGGCCCACCTCGCAGGCGCGGTGTTCCAGACGTGAGAGATCGCGGAATGCGCGGACCACGTCACGTCGATCATGGTTGAGGCGGGCGTCAACGACTAGCAATCAAAACGAAACGCGCGAGCAGCAGCGACGCGTCGTAGACTGCAGAGCTCGAGGACTACCACGCGTGCAGACGAGGGCGGCGGCGGCGCTCAGCCTAGATGGCCGACAATTTCTTCTGAGGATCGGAATGACACAACGTGGAGGAGGATAATAAGTTCGCGGAGCAATTCGCGAAGTACATCCAGTCGGCGTCACCGCAAGAGGCGGGCAAGCACGCGCTGCATTTCCGCTGCCGCAAGCGCAATGGCAAGACGCAGCAGGAGGACGGCGGGTCGGGCGGATCCCAGCAGCAACAGACGAACAAGGCAGGCCGTCTGACGTTCGCCTTCGGCTGCGGCGAGCCTGGCGCGGCGGCTCACTGCCGCCTGCCGCCTCCAGCTCCTGAACTACGAGCAGGTGTTCGGCGCCAAGCAGCTCATCGTGCCCGCTCCCGCGGGGCCCTCGGAGAGGGAGGCGGCGCGTCTCCCTCGCGCCGATGGAGAAGGACCTGATCAGGAAGAAGGGGCGAGGGGGAGAGCGGTCGGTTTTTTCAGGTAGTGAGCGTTTGGCTTTTAGTGGCGTCCCCGATTCGCTTCGGGCAGCGAGTCTCGATGCGCAGTCTGTCCCGGATCTTCCCCTATCCCGATTGTGGCGGTCCTTAAGAGGGTTTCGTGCAGGAGGGGGGGGGCTGTAGCAATGGCCGAGGCGCTAGTCGTGAGTCGGTTCCCTCTGAAGCCCCTCCCTCACTCGGTCACATGGAGTCTATGAGGGTTCGCCACCGTGCGGGGGCGCCGCTGGTGCTCCCAGCGCCCCCCCCCCCCATTTGGTCAGGTTAACCCGGCCCCTTCACAAGTAGGATTGCGCAGTCCTTGCCAGTTTTATGATGTGGTGCTTGGGTAACTGATTTTCATTGCTGATCACTCCTCCCCACCGCCCCCCCCCTTTTTCTGCCTCTCCTCTGACTTGGGCGAGAGGGGCCATGGACGCATCGCATGCGTCAAGCTACGTGGGCGCCGTCTCTAAAAGCGGGATGACGGAGCAGAGAAGTATTGGCATGCACCTGCTGCGCGCTGGCCCGCGCTATCAAAATCACACGACCACGAAACCACAGTCCCCGTCCTGATCCCGCAGGGTGAATTTGGATCCGATTGGCCCGATTCGATGTCGTACCCCGCGGGCCCGATCCGATTCGATACCGATACGCCGACGAATGTATGTTTACCGATATTGGAAAGAGCGTGTTCTACCGCTGCTGGCGGAAAACCGGGGGGGTCACTACCGGTTCGAACCCCTCCCCCCCCCCCTCCGGAAAACCGGGGGGGGTCACTACCGGTTCGAACCCCTCCCTCCCCCCCCCCAGCTCATCATGAAAAGGGGGGGGGGGTCACTACCGGTTCGAACCCCCCCCCCTCGAAAACCGAGTGGGGGTGCGGACAGTGGTGGGGACGGTGTTGGTGGGGACAGTGGCGAGGGGACAGCGGGACAGTGGTGGGGACAGTGGGACAGTGGGACAGTGGTGGGGACGGTAGTGGTGGGGACAGTGGTGGGGACAATGGTGGGAACAGGGGGGACAGTGGACGGTGGTGGTGGGGACAGTGGTGGTGAGGACAGTGGGAATGAGGTGGAAACAGTGGGATAGTGGAGGGTACAATGGTGGTGGGGACAGTGGTAAAGGCGGTGGCGAGGACGGCGGTGGGACAATGGGACAGAGGTACAGTGGGGACAGTGGTGGGGACAGTGGGGACAGTGGTGGGAACAGTGGGACAGCTCAGTGGGACAGCGGAGGAGTCAGTGGGACAGTGGGGACAGTGGGGATAGGCAGTGGTTGGGTCCGTGGAGACAGTGGGGAGAGTGGAACCGTGGTGGGAACAGTGGTGGGAACAGTGGGGACAGTGCGACAGTGGTGGGGGCACTGGTGTGGACAATAGGGACGGTGGTGGAACCAGTGGGGACAGTGGTGGTGAGGACAGTGGTGCTGGGAACAACAGTGGGGGATGTGATGCGAGCGGTGGTAGGGACCGGGAGTCGTTTGCTGGCGGTGCGTGGGGGGGGGGTCGAACCGGTAGTGACCCCCCTCCGGTTTTCGAGGGGGGGATGGGGGGGGTGTTCCAACCGGTAGTGGCCCCCCCTCTGGTTTTCCAGATCCGGGGGGGGGGGAGGGGTTCGAACCGGTAGTGACCCCCCCCGGTTTTCGAGGGGAGGGGGGGGGGGAGGGGTTAGGGGAGGGGGGGGTTTGCCGGGGGGAAGGGGGGGGGGGGTCCAGCAGGGGGGGGGGATTTTCGGAGGGGGGGGGGGGACCCCCGGGTTCCGGAGGAAAAGGTTGGCAATTTTCCACAGTAAAGCGGCGGTGGATCACGCTCTCTCGTCGATATTGGCATGGCGTTGCCACCTGATCCGATCCGATTTCGACTCCGTGACGATGCAGGGTTAGCCGACGCTGATTATGATGCGACCCGATTACGATTCGATGTTGATGGATATTGCCCTTTCGCTGGTGCAAGCATCATCTGGCACCCAAGCGGCACGGGCATCCTTCGGCGGCGCGCCGAAAGGGGGAAGTGAGAGGGGGCCAGCGTTTTCAGAAAACGACGGGGTTTCTCAGAAGCCTTACCGCCTTCTGGAAGGCCTTCTGTGGCTTCGACGAGGGTACCGACGGTTTTTGTTAGAAGACCCGAGGCTTTTGAACCTTCGCATAAGACCCGCGCCCTACGCCTTCCCCCTGGGAGCGCCGCCGAATGTTTTGATTCAGAGTTGATTCTGCAAGGCCACGACGCCCCGGATGCACCCGCTCCGCCCTTGAAGGACGCTGGCGAATGCCCGCGCAGGCGTTCTGCTATGTTCCGTCTCCTCTCGTCCTCCCCCCTTTTGCCCTCCCCGGTTGTTCCTTCTGTTTTTGTTTGTCCTATCTTCCGTTCCTCCCCCTCCTCCTCCTCGACTCGCCCCTCACAGCCCTCCCCCCATCCTGCTTCCCCTCGTCCTCCCCGTCCCTCCTTTCCGCCCGTTGAGCATGCAATTTCGCAGAAGCCTGCTGTAATCCAAGCAAACATCCACCCCTCCACGCACGTGCGCGCGCGAACGCGGGAATGCCGCCGCGCCGCCGGGCCGCCGCGCCGCGCCGCACTTCAAGGGGGGGCCGTTTTTGCGGACGGCGGCGGGGGCCTCTCGCGCTCGGGGGCCGGAGCGGGGCTTTTGCTCCTGGAGACGCCCAGGGGAGGCGGGGGGCTGCTTGCCAGGGCGCGGCGGTGGAAAGGGGGGGACGCGGGGGATGGGGAGGGCAAGGGGGAAGTGGAGGGACGATGGGGGAGGGAGAGGCGGAGGAGGAGGAGGAGGAACAGGAGGAACAGGAGGACGAGGACGAGGACGCGGACGAAGACGAGGACGAGGACGAGGACGAGGAACAGCAGGAGGAGGAGGAAGAGGATGACTGCAGCAATAATAAGAGTACTCGCCATAATAATGCTAGAACAAATCAGTAGAAGACAAAGGCGAACAAACAAATCAATATGACTAATGATAGTAATAATATCCATCGTCAAAATCATAGTCATAATCATAATAATCATGCTAAGAAGATCATGAGTACTACTAGTACTAGTAATACTATGAATAATTCGGTTCGGGGGTGAAAGAGGGCCCCCTGCAAAATGACAGCGGGCGTAAACCATTCAAACCTCTTGCATCCTCCTCCTCCTCCTCCTCTTCCTCCTCCTCCTCCCTCTTCCTCCTCCTCTTCGCATTCCTCCTCCCCTCCTCCTCCTCCTCCTCCTCCTCCTTTCATCCCAATCAGAATACTCTTACGGAACAAAATCAAGCAAAACCATAGGAAAAACAAAACAAACAAAACAAACAATGAAAGCAATCCCGAGGAACTTGCTGGGGGGGGGAGGATGAGGAGGGGGGGACGGGGGAGGAGTCCCCCAGGACTGCTTTTATTGTTTTTGTTGTTTTTTCCTAGGGTTTTGCTTGATTCCGCCCCCGATAGGGGAATCTGATTGAGAGGAGGAGGAGGAGGAGGAGGAGGAGGAGAGGAGGAGGAGGAGGAGGAGGAGGAGGAGGAGGACGACGTCGTGGTCGTCGCCGCCGACGCCCGCGCTCCCGAACCGGGAGGAGGAGTGTCCTCCTCCCCCCTCTCCTCCTCCTCCTCCTCCTTCCTCTTCCTCCTCCTCCTCCTCATCCTCCCCCTCCTCCTCCTCCTCCTCATCCTCCTCCTCCTCCCCCTCCTCCCCCTCCTCATCCTCTTCCTTCTCCTCCTTCCACAACGGCAAGAAAACCAAAGAAAACCAAAGGAAAAAACAAAAAAACAAAGAAACCAAAGGGCTGGAGCCGAAAAACACAGAAACACCGAAGGAAAAACCAAACAACAAAAAAAGATTCACAGACCTACCCTTCCCACCCTACGCTCCACCGAGAAGGGTGCCAGATTTGTTTTTGTTTTTGTTTTTGTTTTTTGTTTGGTTGTTCCTTAGGTTTTTGTTTAGTTTTCAATTCCAAGCCTTTGGTTTCTTTGGTTTGTTTGTTTTTTCATTAGGTGTTGGTTGTTTTTCTGCAACACACCTGTTAGTTCCTTTGGTTTCTTTTGTTTTTCCTTGCCGTTGTGGGAGGATGGAGGAGGGGAAGGGGGGATGAAGGCGGATGGGGAGGGAGGGGAAATGAAGAGGAGGAAAAAGAGGAGGAGGAGGAAAAGGGGGAGGAAGAAGAGGAGGAGAACGAGACGGCGGAACATAATAAGGAGGAGGAGGAGAAGCAGAGGTTTCACTGGTTCACGCCCGCTTTCATTTTCCAGGGGGCCCCCTTTCACCCCGAAGCCGAATAAATCATAATAGTAGTAAAGATAACGATAATATGAATTATTCTACAAATCTATGACGAGGAGGAACATAATAATAAGAGGAGGAATGGGAGGAGGATGAAAACGAGGACGAGGAGGAGGATGATGAGGAGAAAGAGGAGGAGGAGGAGGAGGAAGAGGAGGATGAGGGGGAGGAGGAGGAGGACGAGGACGAGGAGGACGAGGACGAGGAGGACGAGGACGAGGACGAGGAATAGCAGGAGGAGGAAGAGGATGAGGAGGAGGAATACCAATATAATAATAATTTGTTAATACCATAGTAGTAATGGCAATAAAATATATACTCGTAATAATATAGAGAAGAAAGCAAGACGTATACGGAGGAAAGGGAGAAGAAGAAGCGGAGGAGGAGGAAGAGGAGGAGGAGACGGAAGAGGAAACGGAGGAGGAGGTGGAGGATGAAAAAGAGGAGGAGGAAGAAGAAGACCAGGAGGAGGAGGTATAATAATGTTGCCGTCCATGCCCGGGAGGAGTGCAATATGGCAGCGATAGTCAGAGTTGGGGAGCAAACTGATGTTACCAATTTGTCCGACACGCATCGGACTGTGTCACATGGTTGTCCAATACCATGGGCTTTTGGCTCAAGTACTACTTTACTTGCCCCGGGGAAAAAAAGCCCATGCCGCATGTTCATGGTAGCGGAGCCCGTGGTTCGCCCCGCGGGTTCCAGAGCAAAGGTGGCAGCGGCGGCCGCTGCAGCGACCCCAGTGGATTCCTGGAAACCACGACTTGGGCTACAATGTGATGTTGCATGATGTCGAGGAGGCCTGGTACAAACGCATCTCGAGCCGGGTCGTTGAGCTATGCAACGCCGGTGATGAGAACGGGTATGTCACGTACGTGTTTTCCACCTTCAAAGCCAATCGAGAAGGGATGCGAGCGCTCTTCGAGCACAGCGCCACGTTGGGCACCATAACGGTTGACGACGAGATGCACGCCCTTCTGATATTGGCCACCAACCGCAGCATGTACCGGTTGGAGCAGTTCAGCAATTTGAGTGAACACGTCAGGATGGAATCCGAGCGTCAAGCGAGCTCCGCTCCCAAACGCGCCTGCGAATACAAGGCCTTGCAACAGTTGAAAATGTTTTCGGGTGATCAGGCCAAAGTTCAGGGAATGGAGCGAGCAGCTGTTGAACGCGCTCGCCCAAGTGAAGCGTGATTATCGAAAACAGAATTCGAAACCATGCATGGATGGGGCGTTACCCGATGACGAAAATGACGACTTGATACACATCATCAGCGGAAGATTAACCTTGAACGAACACACCAAAGCGTCAGTATCCAAGAAACCAGAAGACGGCGATAATGGGGAATCTGGGCGCAACATAAGCGACTGCGCAAAGTTGGACGAGGGCTTCTGGCATTTGGTAAACGACAAGCTGGAAGGGGTGGGGCCACGGTGAGAATTCACGCGTTTGCCTGAAGAGGGCAGCTGAATCGCCCACCTGGGAGTTTATATATTGCACTCTGCCGCTACGATAATCACACTGTCGCGCCAGATGAATGTGGCAATGTGCCCAAAAACCGAGGAGGTTAACGACGTGGCTGCCCAGCTCAAACAGTGGAATGCGTTTGGAGAGTCCCTCGAGAAGTACTGGCATGCATACTATTTTTCCTCTGCCGTTCAGGCTTGCTGTTTTGAGGATCATTATGACACTCGCAGGTGGTTGTTTCTAAGACTGGCAGCCGGATCGCTTGAATACTTCAGAATAGTGAGATATTGACACCTGTCAGACACATGTCAGCAAGTGTGAAGTTTGGGCCGGGGGGGAATTCTCGACGCCGGCGCGCCAAACAACGTCTCCATGGTGACCTGGCCAACGTCACGGCGGAGATACTGCGGAGTGGGGCGCGCACGTGAACCAGTCCAGCTACTATGACGAAGGTGGACTTTGGTGGACTTGGACTGGGGGGTCATGGCATGAGTGGCAACGGCAGCGTCAGCGAAGTTGGCGCTGGGAGAGGCAAGGGGACATAGCCCGCGCGTTACAAATGCGGCATGCCGCTCGAGTCTGCGCCGCCACGGGGGAAAACACAACTCAAAGAAAAGGGAGGTGGGCGAGGTGAATGATGCGTGGGCGCCAAGCGTTGCTGAGCAGCGCGGGTAGGAGGGCGCGCAGGAGGGCGCCGGGGTACCGAGGGCTACCCGGGGGCTTACGTCATAGGGCCCCCCCCCAGGCAGGATGGAGAGGAGGAAGCGAGGGGGGGCCTGCGCCGATCAGTTAGCGGGAGTGCTACAACATCGGCGACAAAAGGTCACATCGCAGCCCGCTGCCCCAAAGACGCCAACGAGGCGACCCCCGGCCCAGGGGGGGCGGGGCACGGCGCGCGGGAAAGCCCGCGCAGATGTCTGTCCGAGCACGGTATCTGACTGCCACCACCAAGATCGAACATATTATGCGATGCGATTTGGTGCAGTTTTGCTCTGGTGAGAAGCCCGCAGTCCACCCCCGCCGCCAACGGCAGCCGGGCTGCCCTCTCTCTTTGAGGGACCGAAACAGAATTAATTCATCAAGGCACGCGCGGTGGTGGTGTATATAATTTTGGTTGCCAGGGGGGGCGATTTTTATGCACCACCACCAAGAAGTGCTGTTTCTGCTTCTGGAACTCCCCGTGCCACGGCGCCTGCGAGCTGCGCCGCGCTCCTTTTCGCCGTGGCGTCGCAGCGTCGTCTGGCACGGCACGACCCTGCCCCTGACCCTTTTTGCTGAATATTGCAGTTGCGCGCGGTGGTGGTGTATACAAATTGGCCTCGCAGTCTGGGCAGCCCCTACCTTGACCGGGGTGCTTCATCGTCGAAATGAGCGAGACCATTGACGCGGGCGGAGTTATCCGCAACGTCGCGGCGCTGGGGCCAGTTGAATGGGCTCGGGGGCGCAGGGCGCAGCATCGGGGACCAAACGGAGGGGCATGGAGGCGAGGCTAGGTATTCAGGGGAGGCGCGTGCCACATGAGCGCGCGGCCAATTTCGCCTGCAGCCCCCGCTTGGGGCAGCCGAATTGCAGGGCGCATCAAGAATGAGAGGGCTTGGATGCAGGGGCGCGCCGAAGTGCAGCTGGCGGGGGCGCGGGGGCCCGATAGCGAAGTTGACGCAGTGCCATGGGGGGGCTAGGAGGGCGGAAATGGCAACGATAGTTGCCGCCGTGGACTCGGGGGCACACATCGCGGTTGGGCCTCCGAACGCGGGGGCCCGCTTCCCCCGTGCACCCGCGGGGGCCTCCATGAGCGGCAAGCACTGCAGCGCGGCGACTGGGTCAGCTATCGGGAGCCATGGGCAACGAGTCGCTGTGGGTAAGAAATCGGGCGGCCCATGCTGAGCGCGTTCATCGAAGTCGGGGTCGCCATAC